TTCTGCATGCTACACTTGGGGCAGATATTCATAAAGTTGATGAGGAGATAGAAGATTTTGTGATATTTCAGACAAAAAAGACTTAAAAAAGTTTTATACCTGGAATTTTAGAAGAGCAATTTATGTCAATTTACTGCAAGAAATGCCAAAGAAAAGCCCACCATTTGAACTCTGGTGCAGTTTAGAAGTCTCTGAGAAAAATAGCCTTGGTGGTTAAGGCATTAAGCTGAGTGTTTAGGGTCCTATGCTGAGCTTCTGGTGCTGCCCCATATTTCTTCTTTCTGACACATTAGGCAGATAATCTTTCACTGCTCGGGTTCTTTTACCATAGGAAGGGAATTACTACAGTCCTTTGCCCCACAAGCCACTGCTAGGGTGACTTCAGAAGAGAGCTTAGGTGTCCAGATCTGGTTGTGATTTAGTACAGAAGTAAAGAACTGAGGGAGTAGCATCAGTAATGCTTCCACTTTAATGTTGTTGTGGTTCTAGCCTGGTCAGCATCCAAACACCACGCAGACGCTTACTCCTCCCTTCTCCTCTAGTGATGAGAAGGAACAAATGAACCAGGCTTGGGATTCAAGATAGGACCAGGAGGGGCAGATCACCCATTATGGTCATGGGCAAAAGGCAGACTCGTTAAGGGAAGAAAAAAAGAACATACATTTATTACAGAAATTAACCACAACACTTAACTGAGTATTACAGAGAGAAGCATTGCTACATCTTGAGAACATCTTCCCCCCACCCCTCCCATCTTCCCGGGCTCAGCTTTGCTCCTGATATCTCCACGTCCTCCCCGCAGCGGCGCAGGGGCAGGGAATGGGGGGTGCAGTCAGTGCTGCTGCTTCTTCCATCTTCAGTGGGGGGAGCTTCTGGAACTTCTCTTCCTGCTCCATCGTGGTCCCCCTCTCACAGGAGACAGTCTTCCACAAGCTTCCTCTGACGTGAGTCCCTCCCATGAGCAGCAGCTATCCCCACACTGCTCCGGTGTAGGTCAACAACTTTCTCTAACTGGAGTCCCTCACATGGGTTACAGCCCTTCCCGAGCTGCTCTGTCATGGGACACCCCCACATGTTGCAATCCTCCCAACTCTGAGTTCCAGCAGTGGGGGCTGCCTTTTCCCACAAGACCCCGGCCTTCTTTGGGCACAGCATCTTGATCATCCAGGTGAAAAACACAGGCTATAAATCAGTGTCTGCTCCACTGTAGATCTTCATGGGTGGCGGGGGGGGGGCCGCCCTTCTGTCTCACCACAGGATATAGGGGGGTCTCTGCTCCGGCACACCTCCCCCCTCCTTTCTTACTCCGTTCCTCCACTGACCTTGGTGTTCATGCAGCTGCCACAGCTCCTCCTCACAAGTCTAACTCTTCCTCACCACATCCCTTCTTAAATACGTTATCGCAGAGGCGCAGCTGATTGGCTTAGTTTTGGTGCAGAGGTGGAGCTGACTTGGAGCTGGGGGAGCTTTGAGAAGCTTCCCACAGGGGCCACCCCATACCCCCTCATCGCTACCAAAAAAACCCACCACTCACCCAAACCCAGGACAAATATTTGCTTATGACTGTTTGTACAAAAAAGTCTTTCAACCTCTGTTCTCTATCCAGGTATCCATTTTAAAAACTCAGTATTCCTTTATCCTTTCCTGATTTCTGATCTGACATTGCTCAGTATTGAGTTTTACCTTCTCATCAGACTCCAGAGGCAGTAACAGTGCAGTCCATTCTGCATTAGGCAAAGACATCAAGCATTTAGACATTGGCGTTAATCAGCATGGCAGAATAACCTTGCAGAAGAGTTTCCAGCCTGGGAAATAACATCACTGAGTAGTGCAACAAATTGTGTGCCTATTGTCTGTAGGTCTAGAGCTGGAATCTAAACCTTGGTCTTCTGCACACAAACCAGCATTTTCAGACAGAAAGGTTTGAAGGAGAGCTTGTGGCCTGTGCAGTCTTGCACAAATGTAGCCTGTGATACTTCACTGGTATGAGTAGGATTTCGCAGGTTTAGAGCAAATCTTCTAGAGGAAGTGTGACAAGCCAGTTTCAATTTTGTCATCAAACTGCTTCAAAACTTCTTTGAATCATTATGTTAATGATGTCAGATCAAGATTTTTTTCACTATTTTAGGTACATGGAAAGTTTTATATATCTGCCATATTCAATTAGTTTTTATTTAATTTGTAAGAATTTGCCTTAAGGTTTTCAATGTTAAGCCACAGGCCCATAGTTAGTATATATTCTCAACCATACATATTGGGTTAATGTCTTAAAGTTGAAAGTCACAGCATACCTTGCTTTACATTTACAGAAATTGCTGCAGACCAAACCCTTGCACTGGCTGCCTGCCAGCACCGTGCTTCCTCCACTCCTTACTAGAGCCAAAGAAGTAGAAGGTGCTCAGCACTGCAGTCCAGGCCAGTCTGTTACTCTGTATTATTTCTGAAATACAAGCTAATTACTTTTTGAGTTATCTCTTGTCAATATCTTGGTTTATATAAAGCATGTGATGATAGCCAGTGGTACATATAAGAAAGATAGCTAGAGCAGTTACCTGGACCTAGATACTTCATGATTTAACAGCTGAACTCACTCAATCACCTTTTACTTTTTCTCAGTTTATGTTAGATTTTCATGCCACCATCAGTAGGTTTCCTGCCGTAAGTGACATTTCTTTATACCCCTAAGAACCTTTACAACATATCCGTGAGATTAAAAAGTTACTGAAGTAAATAAAGACCTCTGTGTATGTTTTGTGTATGACAGCTTTGCAAATGAATGCTTTTGCTGGTCAGTTCAGACTAAGCTTCTAACCAGGGTACTCCATATTTCATAACAGTGGGGAGAAACCTTGCTTAACGAAGTTGTTATATAGAGGACAAAGGTATCTCTAAAAAGTGTAGATGGTAGCTTCTAAGGAGGGCTAGCAAATTGTCAAGGTATGACTCTAGGCATTCACTGTTGGCTGCTGTTGAGGATCAATCTGTATGCAAGAAGCTCCCTTATTTTGAAGTAATTGGTCCATTTTCACCTGTGCTCCATCTTTTCTGTAGTAGATAAGATCCAATTTATCCTTTTGGAAACAGTGTTCATAACCACATACTGCTGTCCTGTCACTGCATTATAAAGACTCAGCAAGACATGGTACTTTATGTATGTGTTCATTTAAAGGATGATATAAATCAAAATATCCCTGAAATTATGACAGTTTGGTAATCAAGCCATTTGAATTAATTTGATCAAAAGTGCAATAAAGGAGGTTTTTATGCAATGAACTTTTCAGCAGTCCTGGCCTCCTACTGTGTATATTGAGCATGAGGAAGTCTGTCCTCATACTCCAGTCAAGTTACTCCACAAGCCATTTAAAGATTTATTTTAATCATATATTTTACTGCTTATGCACATACTTGTGTATGGTTAAAATCACACTTATAGTTAGCCCAGTGTCTTTCAGTTTTTATCAATAATAACAAAATCTGTATATCCCCACAGAAAAGATGTCCCTTTGCTCCCATTTTTCCATATTATTTTCAAGCCTTTTGCGATACTAATTCTCCCAGGAGTGAACACTACAAAGATCTAGCATCAACTTTGATGTAATATATCATAAACTCAGTCCATATTTCATGTATGAAGCCTCAGAGACTGATAGAACACCCCTGTGTTGTTCTTAAATTTCCATGGATACAATATCCTAAGGTGTGCAGTAGGCCTCTCTGATATTTAGGGCTGGTTGCTTAACCTTTGAATCTAGGTATCATGCCGGTACAAAACGAAAAGGCAATAATTACCAGAATTAGAAAAAATAATGGGAATTTATTAATGAATCATCTTTCCCCTTAAGCTGTACTGTAGCAAGAAATAATCACAATAATAATGAACAGTGTTATTATTGGACCACATTATGAAGACCAGTGATTTTGTACCAAGCTTTTACTGTCAGGGGAATGGTTCATTAACCACAAAGAACACTTCACATTAGGGATTCAGTTTATCTGGCCAATTTAGACATTGTTTAAGTAATTTTTAATTAAAATTGGTATTCTACATTTTGGAATGGTGTACTGGTTCAAAGAAATTATAAGCACAATTACTACAATCAAGTTGTTAGTAAATGTTTTTGTTCCAGATAAAGGTTGGACACTGGTCAATCTGTTAAGCAGCCATTCTGGCCTACCTTGCAGTTTCAGTTCCAATTAGTAGGGGGTGGATGAGAAGAGGAGGAGAAGGACAAAACCTTTTCATAACATAGGAAGTTTTTTATTTGGCAAGGGGTAAATAAAGGAAATTCCTTGAAAAGTGGGTTATACACAGAGAAGGAAGAATTTTGCTTGTAACCTTAATAACAAACACTGATTTATTTTGATCAAACCAGCTCTATGTCACATTATTTGCTGCAGTAAATATCCTTTTGGGGATTAAAATGAGGCTGGGGAAAAAATGTACTTATATTCTTCACAATATTTCATCCCATTGCAGGATAACATAAAATTAATGAAAATTGCCTTTAGTCTGGAGAGAAGCCCTAGCCTCCCAAGCACCAGGCAAGAAATGTGACAGTGCTGTATCTGAAGGAGAATTCAGATTAAACTCCCAGCCAGTGTAAATATCACATAATTTCATGGACTTTTATGTCTCAACACCTGCTGAGGATCTGTCACAACTGAAGTGTGGGGTTCACACTGTTTTAGACACCATTTAAAATGAGAAACAAACACAATCCATGACTGTAGGTACTTCTTCCTGTAAACAAACCAAACTGTACATTAAGATCTGCCATCAGTGTGAAGTACTAATTCAAATTCATTAAGATCAGGCACAAGTGACAGTTTACAATACTTTCACTTACCCTGCAGCCAAACTGGGCTCAAAGTGCCAGCATCATTTTTGAGACGGATGCAGTCATGGAACCTCAATGAGCTGCAACTGATGTCTTGTGGGGGGGACTGGAAGGATACAGGCTGTGTCTGCATGAACTGGGGACTCTGGTGCAAGTAATGCATGTCAAACTATGCCCTTAGGGAGTGCAAACAGTCAGATTAAAAAAAAATCTTATAGGTAGAAAGAGTCAGACCTTCAGGCTATAACAAACTGTACATGGGTGGAGAGTAGAATGATAGCTACTGTAATATTAAAAAATTAGACATCAGAAAATCATTTCAATATATGTAAATCTGTCATCCTTCTAAGCAGTGTTGGAGCACATGCTTCAGGAACTGGGTGCTTAAAAGTAAGCATATGCTTCAATTTTCAGTCCTAAAGAAGAATGGGGGTTTATACACAGGTTTTAGAGAGGGGGATTCATGTTGTGGCAAACTTGCCCTTCTAATCGGCCAGACAAAACTGCTGAGTTCATCAGCTGCAAAGCTGATTTAGACCAAAGGTATCAAATTCATTTTCTTCCTTGCGAGATTAATTGTGATAAATCTCTTCCAAATGTGCTAAATAATGAAATGAAATGAAACATATTCTTCATGCCTAAATGGGTGGTTTCTCACATCCTGATGGAATATTGTTGAAGAATTACAATAGACAGAAATGGTTCAAATACACTTGTTAAGAAGTAATAACAAACAGGTAAAGAAAGACCACAGGGACTCCACTAGGCCAGTTTATTTTTTATTTCCTCATTTTAATTCACCTATTTTCTTCACACTATTCCCTTTGCTTTCTTCACTAAAGAAGTAATAGAGATGTCTTTTGAAGATTCTAATGACTCCTGAAGTCTTATTTTTGTTGTAATTTATTTCATGTGTGTGTTCCTCCACAGGAAGCAGCTGTGTCTTCTAAATGGGAGAGAAGACTTTTTAGAGACCTCTGATGGCAAAAGAAGGGGTAGGGATGGGGATGGGTGTGTAGAGGAGATGTGAAGGAGAGGAAATTCTTATGGTTCTCCTATGTACTGAATGTATTTAAAATGTCTTTCCTCTCAGGGAAGGCAAGAGGGATAGCCTGTGACGCTGTTTCTGTCCACCTCACTGCACTCAATGACTGGTGACTTGGATAATGGAACAGGGAACTAAGTGCTCATCCCACCTGTGCACATTACCATCTAGCTTTAGTTTTGATTACACAAAAACCTTATATACACACAAGTTAAACAGTATTTTCCCTTCATTGGAGATGTTTAGTGGAGTAAATACATCCAAATGTACCCTCTCAGGTCTTCTGTGGACCTGGTCAGCTTTCCCATTTGCTCTGACACTAGAGTTTCTTCAGGCTATATGTCATCTTCATCGAGGACTCTGAAGTTATTCTTAGTTGTAGGGTTTAAAACAACACATCTTTCAGCTCCTAATTATATAAGCACATCTATAATTTCTTTCCTACAAGTAGTTTTCTCTGAGTTTTTCTGGAGTGTCCTGTTCTTAACATCTTCTACCCAGTGTCCATGAGATCCTCATTATTTGCAGTACTCATTTTGTGGCCTTGGAAATCAGACTCAAGTCTCCACTTGTCTCTACAAAGAGCTGCCTCTAATTCTCATTTAGTCTGCATGACAGGCAGCAGACCCTGCCTCTGCTATCAAAAAGAGAACTCTTTTGTCAAAAAAACAACATATGACAAGCTATCAAACCCGGGAGATAAAAATTGGCATCTAAAAATGAGGTGTTTGTGTTTAACAGCAGGGGTAATAACAGAACAAATCACATAACATAGTAATAAACTGTTATAGATAGTTGTATGATGCAGACTGATATACACAAACTAGAAATTTAAAAATTATGGTCAGGAGCCCAGAACAGAAGAGACAGTAGCATGAGATGGTGAAAGACAATCCAGAAGTCAGGAGGATAAAGTCTTCCATTGGAGCATGAGGAAAAGGTGGCAAAAAAAAAAGAAACAAAAATGTCAAACCAGAATCAGATGTTTTGATTTCTTCAAAGTAATTCATGGCAATTTTCAAACTGGTATCATGATTGCCAATCAGATGTCAGCACATAATTCAATTTATCTTCTTGAAACTTCCCAGAATGCAAATCTATCCAAATTAAGAACCAGAAAAATAGGTGGTGGGGGCTGGAACAAGAAACACAAAACCTTAAATAGATTGATATTTCTTTTCACTCATCTTCTTCTGTACGATGAATTGAATTTCTGTTAGTAACTAGGCACTTTTGCAGACACTTATTTAATGTCATGCAGGAGAGAGGCAGTAGGTGTGGGCAAAAGAAGTGAGTCATACCTTGCTCAGGAGGGAACCTGCTGTGATGTTCATAATGCAGTGAATTAAGTTCAAAAGAAGAAAGTTTCTTTTTCTTTTCTCTTGTTCCTACACTTTTTCTTTTCCCTGGTCTGACAGACACCCAGATTCATGACAGCTTCTTAATACTCATTTATACCATTGATAATTAGTCCTGAATACAAGTCTATCCTGAAAGATGATAAATCATCCCTGATTTTGACATAAATACAGTAAAAATGTATTGTCTTATGTATAGTTGCCTGGTACAGGGGCAAGAACTTCTCTCTGCAGTGAACTGGGAACTTGGCCACCTCCCCTAGCAGCAGTCCAAGATGACTGCAGCATATGTTGTAACAGTCTCTAGATTTAAAGATGCGAGGGCAGTCATCTGGCTCTTTCTCTACTGAAGCATTCTTTCCTGATGATCGGAATAAAACCCAGACTGTTTGGGGTTTAAATCAGGGTGCATATAACACAATGCTCTGTCATAAGACTGGAAGTTGTCTGAAGACATTGCCATCTGGTGTGTAGAAAATAGGAGATTTTGATGTTCAAGGAAAAAAGCTCTGTCAAACTTACAGAAGAGGTCTGATTTGTTTAACAGTGTTGTTTAACATCCTTGTCAGTGACATGGACAGTGGCATTGAGTGCACCTTCAGCCAGTTTGCCAGTGACACCAAGCTGTGTGGTGTGGTTGACACACTGGAGGGAAGGGATGCCATCCAGAGGGACCTGGACAAGCTGGAGAGATAGGCCCGTGCAAATCTCATGAAGTTCAACAAGGCCAAGTGCAAGGTCCTGCACATGGGTTGAGGCAATACCAAGCACAAATACAGGCTGGGCGAGGAGTGGATTGAGAGCAGCCCTGTGGAGAAGGACTTGGGAGTGTAAGTGGATGGAAAACTGACTATGAGCCAGCAATACATGCTCGCAGTCCAGAAATCCAGCTGTGTCCTGGACTGCATCAAGAGAAGGGTGGCAAGCAGGTCAAGGGAGGGAAATATTCCTCCTCTACTCCACTCTCATGAAACCCACCTGCAGTGCTGTGTTCAGCTCTGGGGTCCCCAATATAAGAAAGATATGGACCTGCTCGAGCGGGTCCAGAGGAGGTCACAAAGATGATCAAGGGGCTGGATCACCTCCCTTATGAGGACAGGCTGAGGGAGTTTGGGTGGTTTAGCCTAGAGAAGAGAAGGTACCGGGAACACCTCACAGGGCCTACAGGAAAGATGGGGAGGGACTCTATCAGGGACTATAGTGATAGGACAAGGGGTAATGTTTTTAAAATGACAGAGGGTAGATTTAGATTAGATATAAGGGAGAAATTATTTCTTGTGAGGGTGGTGAGACACTGGCACAGGTTTCCCAGAGAAGCTGTGACTGCCCCCTCCCTGGAAGGGTTCAAGGCTGGGTTGGACGGGGCTTTGAGCAATCTGGTCTAGTGAAAGGTGTCCCTGCCTATGGCAAGAGGTTTGGCATTAGATGATCTTTAAGGTCCCTTCCAACCCAAACTATTCTAGGATTCTATCATGTGTTTCCCTTGTTTCATTATAATGATTTGTAAGCAAATTCAAATGCCATTTGTAAGGTTCAAACTGAAGTTACTTAAGCAAAAGAGAAGTGAGTGTTGGTGATAGGAATGAAAGACTCGCTTTTGAGATCCTACTGGGACACCCTTGTGAATATAAGCCATCATTCAAATTAAAAATAAAAGCTGCAGTCTGGGATGTTTTATAGGGGCACCACAAGGCCTTAAGTTTCACTTTCTCCCTTATTTATTTATTTTGTCTGTGAGCCAGTTGTCCATTCAGAACATGACAGTTAATTACGCTTCTCTGTTTCCCTCTGACAAACAAAGCACAAGTAATGCCAGCAGGGATTAAACTGTTTGCTTTTGGTTTACAAGGAATTAAAGTGTGTGTGCAGTAAATTTCCCCATAAAGGTCTTTCCTAAAGCTGTAGACTGGGGAAATAATATTAGCAGCTAACGCTGTGGATGCACAGCACAGTTCAACAACCTTTAAATAAACGTCTAATATGTTTTCCCCTCCAAATGGGCTTTACTTGAGGTGTGTCTACATGGGCTTCAGCAGGCTGATGTGAGCCCACACCACCCATGCACCCTGCCAGCCATACACAACCACAGCCATTGCCAGCCTGACAGCCCTGGGCTGGTTCATTAGCTGAGTTAAGCGCTGCACTGATCACAGTTTACACTGTTTCCAGCTCAAAAGCTTTTGGAACCAGCTTGCTCCAAGTGCAAGCAGGACAGCGTGCACATTGCAGAGAGACTGAGAATTCAGTTCTGAATTCAGGATGTTTCAGGGATGGGCATGCTCCCCGTAACTCTACCACTTGCTTGTCTTGGCTGAATTACCTCCTCTCAAAATGCTCTTTTCTAGTTGTTTGCAACAAGACCTGTTATGTTCAGAAGGACAAGGTCTCTGTGAGAAGGCTGAGGAGTCACTAATGGGGCAGATTATTAACCTGCCTGCAGCTAGTTCAAATCTGTCGGATGCTGCCAACCAGAGGAAGTGCCGTAGATCAACCTGATAATATCAAACAGTATCTTACCTAAACTCTGACAACAAGAATTTAGTTTCCTATGATGGCCATTTTGAAACAAGTTGACTCCAGTCCGTTTGTGCATGGGAGACCCCTGCTGATTCAGATTTCTTGAGAGTTTTAGGAAGAGGACCCCAGGTCTAACCAGGCCTGGGTGCTAGGAGCCTCTCCATCCAAGCAAAGCAGGTTCAGTTCCAACACCAGGCTGCTCTGAACACATTATGGTGGCCTTTTCTGCAAGCAGAGCAGAAGCCCATCTGCCCTA